AGGTTCACTCTCACCACTTCCATAAGCACAGAGAGATGTGTGCTTGACAGCGGGCTCCAGTGTGTGACAGCTGGCACCCAGCCAGGCCTGAGGTGGGCCACGTGGAGACTTTGAGAGGCAGAAGCCGTCGGCTGCTGATGCCATGGTAACCCGCCCGGAGCGGCTCCTACTCAGGTGCCCTGGGCAGTCTCCCCAGCTCCTGAGTGGAAGCTGCCTGGCCTTGTACCTAGACCTTGTCTTGCCTGCATCAGGCAGGCCCCTGTTTTCCTCAGGAGCTGGGCAGTTTGAGGTTAGTGAGATGTGTTATTTAATGGTGATGACATTTCTACACCCAAAAGTGGGCTGCTGTGAGTGGGTGGGGACAACAGGATGGAACGTTTGCAATTGGGCCTTAGTGGAAAAATTCGGGCCTTGTCCTGTGCCGTGACTGGTGAGCCCATTGCCGGGGGTGTCCCAGGCTGGCAGGCTGCAGATGCCCACGGGGCTGGCCAAGACTGTCCCAGGGAGACCTCCGCAGGCGTCACGCTGTGGCTTTTCCAGGAGAGCTAGTCACCTTTGAGCTGAAGAACAGCCCTGGCCGGCCTTGGCTTTCAGGAAACATTGGCTCTAAGCTGGCTTCCTGGGAACCTGCACAACTGCCTGCCCAGCTGGATAGAAGGTTCTGGAAACTCTGTCTCTGCCCTGGGACTCGCATGAGAGGTCACTCAGTCTCCTAATTTGCAGACCCCTGCAGAAGTTGAGACTTATCTGTCCCATCTGTGAAGCACCTGGGGGTGGCACACTTCTTGCTCCTCTGGTGTTTTTCTGCTCACAGGAAGACAAACATCCCATCCCCATTTAACACACACACACACACACATACACACACAACTAGATAAACCTAGAGAAACTTTTTTTCTTTGTTGTTTTTTCCTTTTCTGGACAGGGACATGGAAGCTGTTGAATCATGGGGTCATTGGGCTGACCATAATTGAAAATCACATAACCAATCATTTGTTTGGGGCCACCACTGTGGCATAGCAGGTAAAGCCACTGCCTGCAGTGCCAGTATCCTATATGGGCGCCGGTTCAAGACCCGGCTGCTCCACTTCTGATCCAGCTCTCTGCTGTGGCCTGGGAAAGCAGTAGAGGATGCCCAAGTCCTTGGGCCCCTGCACCTACATGGGAGACCTGGAAGAGGCTTTGGGACAGGTTGGCCATTGCAGCTATTTGGGGAATGAGCCAGAGGATGGAAGACTTCTCTCTCTCTCTCCACCTCTGCCTCTCTGTAATTCTGCCTTTCAAATAAATAAAGAAATAAAGAAATATCTTTTTTAAAGAATGCAGTTTTCTGACTTAATTGATTTTGCTGCCAGACCCAGAAAGAAAAAAAGAAAGGGCAAAGAAAGCAAGGTTCAGCCATGGTGCGAGTTTGTCCGAGTGGAGGCAGCGGAGGGCCCGGCCTGAACGCAGTGCCGCTGGAGCTGCAGCATGTTTGCCTGAATGGTGTTCTGCGGGATACCCGGGGCAGCCAGGCCTGAGCTGGGCAGGGGTATAATTCAGCTGTAGGCATGGGGCTATTTTCCTTACTCTCTAGCAGCATAAAGTACTTCCACTGAACGCTTTGATTCAAGGTTCCATTTAGAGATACTTTATTCCTATTTAATTACAGGCTGCAGCACCAATCTTTAATTACCTTTTTTATAAGTCAGCTAGGAGCCTCCACTAGCGATCAGTTATCGTGTGTGTGTGTGGGCCTGCATGTGTGTGTGTGCACATGTGTGTGTGCACGCTCGCGTAAGCACAGGCGGGCGTGGGCATGCGACTTGCTTCCAGAGAGGGAGATAGGCTGGCTGCAGGGACACTGTGTAGAGGGGAGGGCATCTGCTTGACGGGTCGCCCATCTAGGGGGGGTGCCTCCTTGTTCCCGTGTTGTCTTGGCTGTCACTGACACAATGGGGGGTTTGGGTGAGTGCTCACAGCTGGGCCTGGTGCAGGGTGCTGAGTTGGCAGCTGGGCTTGGGTGGTGTCTTGGGCTGCCTTGGCGGGAGCAGGGAATTGTAGGAAGCCTCCTTCCTGTCCCCTAGGTGTGTGATGAGCCAGACTCTCTTACCCCGGAGATTAGAATCTGCTGGCCTGGCCTTCTCTTTCCTCTACCTGCCGTGTGATGCTCTTGGCAGCTCTTCTGGCCACACAGCCCAGCAGTGCCGTGTCACTCTCCGGTTACAGTGACTCTGCAATGTCCCTGCAGTGACCGTGGTTTGAAGACTGCTTGTTCTGCCCAGACAATGAGCAGGTGTTCCTGGGCGCCCGGCTGAGGCTTCTGGTGGGGAGTGAGGGCAGGTGACCCCTAAGTCTCTGCAGCAGGAAGATTGGGTCGTTCCAGCTGCCAGGGAGGTGAGGGCCTGTGGTCACACTCTGGTCCAGAATCGCTGTCCTTGGCACTCTTTCTGGAACCAGCAGAGGGCTTCCACAGGGCCTGGTGTTGATGTCATTATCTGAGGCCGGGAGCACTGCTGAAGGTCCACCTTTCCTTCTGTTCCTGGATCTCCATCCCAGCAAGAGGGGGGCGAGGAACTCAGGCTCACTGAGCCTCTTGGACAATCCTGGGCTTCACACCCATGAAGCCTTTCATTTATCCTGGCAGGGGCCTGCGAATGGACTGTGTCAGAGCCCCTTCAGCTGTGTGTGACATAAAGCTTGAACTGGGAGAATCAGAGGGCAGGTACTCAGGTATGGCCAGATCAAGGGGCTCAGCCATCATGATCAGGATTTGCACCTCCTCTCTCAGCTCTACAGTGTGGCTCTTAGCAGCTCCAGCCCCTGTAGGTCTGCCCAAGTTGTGCAGAAGGAATCTCTTCTTCTACAGTTCAAAGGAAAGCAAAATCATTGAATCTGGTTGGGCCAGTTGGTCCGTTCTGAACCAATCAGAGGGGCCAGAGGCACTTAGAGTTCTGATTGGCCAGGCTGGAGTCTCCCAGCCACCAGGGAGTAACAGGTGGACACTGCCTGGGTAAACCCCACACCTGATGTGTACTTTGAGTATTTTGGAACGTTACGCATTTGAGGAGTGAGGGAGCAGGAAGGTCTGGCATTTCAAGGGGAAGAAAAGTGGATCCTGTTCTCCAGCAGAGAGGATGGTGGGTCCAGCCATTTAGCAAACACCTGTTTGGCAGTGACTAGATCCAGCCTCGTCATGGGTGCAGGGACTCCGCAGGGAACAGGACAAAACTCCTTCCCACATGGAGCTGATGTCCTCATGGGGTTTTTAGGGTGATGGTCCTGGTCCTCTTTCATCCCAAGCCTGGGTTCAGGGTGTTCTGGGGCTGAGAGCCCCCAGGTGATGAGGAGGAGTCTTGCCCTCAGGAAGCCTAGAATCATCAAAGAAGGGAAAAGACAGGTGCATTGTTGGGAGCACCTGGGACTTGGGTGTGGGAGAAAGATTGATGAGGAAGCAGGGACCGGGAAAGCCAATCCCATACTTGCCTCTTGTGTCAGAGATGCGTCGGCCCCTCCCAGCACGTCCTGGGCCTTCGGCCTCTGTGGAACCTTGGTGGACAGAATGGAGTTGAGTGCAAGCGACAAGGATGATGGCAGGGATGGAGGGAGCTTCACGAGTTGGGATTGGCAGGGTCATGGTGCAGCCTTGCAAACAGGGAAGGGACAGTGGCCGGGGCCCATGGGACTTCTGAGGTCTGGGCAAAGGAAAAGGGCTGAGGAGCAGGACCGAGGGGCTGCTACAAGAGGGAGGACAGGCAGGAAGGGGCGTGGACCGAGGAGAGCCTGGGGGTGCGGCAGGAGGGGAGGCGTGTGAGTGGTTATGTGGACAGCTGACCCTGAGGATGCTGACCTCTGAGGGCACTCACGTCCCTTGTGTACTACGTGTGGTGTTTGTATGAAGCCTGCAAGTCTTCCCATGAACTGTATGTCATCTCCAGATGACAGATAACCAGTACAGTGCCAGTGCTCTGCAAATACTTGTTGTATGGTATTGTGTACAGGACACGGACAGGAAAACAAGTCCGTACGTGTGCAGTACCCAGTTGACTCGGAGGCTGCTGGGCCTGATCAGAGGGCAGACCTTATACATGTGCATGTGTGCGTGCATGTATGTGCGCGTGCACATGTGTGTGCATACATGCATGTGTGTGAATCATCGGACTGTGAGGAATCGTGAGGCTAGATAGAGGCTTATAGAAATGGAGAAGATTCGAATTTCAACCTTGGCCAGTCTTGGAAAAGGCATCTGGGGCCCTTCCTGCCATCTAGAAGTGGACCATGTAGCTGTGACCACTGGAGTCAGAAGGAGTTTCTCCTCCAGGGCAATGGATGTGGAGTGTGTAAGGGGGCAGGGGGAGGAGGAAGGAAGGAGAAGAAGAAAGGGGAAGGACTGAATTTTCCACTCCACAGAGAGAGAAAGCGAGGTGCAGAGAGGGTAGGGGAGGATGCCACTCTGGGGGCGTCACGGCTGAGCTGTGACAGGGTCCTAGCCCTGGGGTCCCTGCAGGGCTGGCCAGGCTGGGATGGGCTCTGGGACCACCTCTCCAAGCCTCCACTTGGGCAGGCATTACAGGCAGATGTTGGGTTTGGAGCTGGCCCAGGTTCTTTGAGCTCCTCTGGATGGTGGAATTGGACCATCTTCCATATGGTCTTTGTCGTGGGCTGGCCTGGGCCCATGTCCTGTTGACTTTTAATCATCTGTCTGTAAGAACCCAGGAGGCACACTGGGGCGTGATTAAATGAACTCCAGATGCAGTTCTGAATGTTCTGGGTGCACCTCTTGGCCTCTCATGGAGGTTTCCAGAGCCCATGTGCTCTCGACTGAGGACACACCCTCTGTGTGCCTGACCTGGGTCTCCACAGAGGCAGTGGGCCGAGGCGAGGCCCCAGGCTGGGGAACACCTGAGCAACAGGAGATCTGTCCTGGACCCTGGGCGGCCCTGCTCTGGCCCATCGTCCCAGCCCCTCCCGCTGCCCTGGGCCGTCTTCTGAAGTGTGTGTCCTCTCTCCACTCCTGACAGATCCAGGACTTGTTCGTGAGCTTCGAGGACACCCCTCTGGGGGCAGCCTCCCTGGCCCAGGTCCACAAGGCGGTGCTGCGCGATGGGCGGACGGTGGCCGTGAAGGTGCAGCACCCAAAGGTGCAGGCGCAGAGCTCCAAGGACATTCTCCTGATGGAGGTGAGAGCCACCCTTCCTCCTTGCTTCGTCCTCAGCCTGTGTTTCCCTGGGATGGAGGCCGTCTCCGTGGAACTGGCTCAGACAGGCAGGTGGTGTGAGGTCCTTGGAGCAGCAGAGTAGGAGACAGAACCGGGACTGCAACAAGGGGACTGCCATGGCAACACTGCAGCCACAGGGTCCTCATATTATGGGGATGTGGGGGGGGGACTGACCAGACCCTACTTTGTCCCTGGGAACTGTCCGTGGTGGTCTCCAAACAGGCCGAGCTGCTTCTGGGCCCAAGGGCACTCCACAGCCCCTCCTGGCTCTGTCATAGATGACGGTGCCAGCAAAGTGCCCTGGAGCTCTGGTTTGAATGGATGGGGGTATTCCCAGGATATGATGTTTTTATTTATTTGAGAAACAGAAAGAGAGAGAAAGAGAGAGAGAGAGAGAAAGCAAGTGCGAGCTCCCCCTTCCACTAGTTTCCTTCCCAAATGCCTGCAGTGGCTGGGGAGCCAGGAACTGGGAACACTGTCCAGGTTTCCCATGTGCGTGGCAGTGACCAACTACCCAGGCCCAGGGTGTGCATCAGCAGGAAGCTGGATTGGAAGCAGAGTCAGGACCTGAACCAGGCTGACATGGGATATGGGTGTCCTGCGAGCATCTGCACGTAGAAAGGCCGCGCGGCTTGGGCTGTGCCAGGAGAGCGGGTCCAGGTGATGCCAGGCTGGGAGGGTGGACAGGCAAGCACGCTCGTCCTCCAGGCTCAAGTGTGGAAGAGCACGCCTTGTCAGCGCTCAATACACGCGAGACTGCATCCAAACATTTGTGGGAAATGGATTTAAAAGATAAGTTTATTTTTGTGTCAAAAATGTGAAAGCCCGGGCCGGCGCTGTGGCATAGCGGGGTAGAGCCCTGGCCTGAATCGCCGGCATCCCATATGGGCGCTGGTTCTAGTTCTGGCTGCTCCTCTTCCTGTCCAGCTCTCTGCTATGGCCTAGGAAAGCAGTGGAAGATGACCCAGGTCCTTGGGCTCCTGTACCCACGTGGGAGATCCGGAAGAAGCTCCTGGCTCCTGGCTTCGGATCGGCACAGCTCTGGCCGTTGCGGCCATGTGGGGAGTGAACCATCAGAAGGAAGACCTCTCTCTCTGTCTCTACCTCTCTCTGTAACTCTGTCTTTTAAGTAAAAAAAATGTGAAAGCCATGTACACAGGGGTCTTCAAAAAATGCGCGGAAAGTGAAAAAAAAAATAAAACGATGCCCTTTTCCACAGATTTTTTGAAATGCTCGTGTGTCTGTGGGGCTGAGCAGATCTGATTTCTTCCTGGGTAGTCAGTGGGGAACCTTGGGAGCATTCTCATCAGGGGCTGTCACGATCAGCTGCGCATTAGAAATAAAAATTTCTTGGCAACCGGGAGGCAGGGTGCGCAGGCAGAGGGACTGTCGCCTGGAGACTAGCGAGGGGCTGCTGCCCTGTGCGGGACAGAAATGCTGACTGGGGCGGACCCCAGGGGGGCTCCCACTTCACTTGGGGAGGCGTCAGGGGCGGTGGGGTTGAGGAGGAGGAGACGGGAATACCTCTGAGGATTCTGGCTCCAGTGATGACGTTTGGGCGCCTTTGACCAGGTGTATCAGTCCCAGTGCAGGCAGGCCAAAAACAGTTTGCTTGAAGAGCTTCAGACACACGGCACTTAAAACAGTAAGCGGGCCTGATACAGACGGGGTTGCTGGGTCGGCAGTCCACGGCGGGGCGGGGGACAAGGAGGAGAGGTGGATTTCAGGATCTCGGGAGCTGGAAGCACCTGGTGGAAGCTGGAACCCTACTGAGCTTGCCCGATGGTGGGACCCGGATCCCAGATACAGGGCCTGGGAGTTGCAGCCATGGACGCTGTTGGAGGCAGAGGGTTTTTCACCTCCTCCTGGCCCCTGGTATTTCAGCCTTGTTGCTCAGTGGCCAAATCTAGCTGGAAGCGAGTGGACAACAGAGCAAGTGGGAAAAGTAGCTTCTGGGAGTAAGGAGTTGGTCTTGGAGCCGAGTGACCGGTGAGGGAGCAGCCATGCGGGGTGAGGTATTGCTGCCAGTGATTTTAGATAGGGATGTCTGTGTCAGTCTGGGGTTTGGATTGGGATTCGGATTCAGGGTTTGTGAGCCAGGAGACTCGTGGTAGTGGAACTGGACGAATGGTTGTGATGACTGGGGAAGGTGTCTGCAGATACATGGGAGCGAGGGGCAGGCTGAGGAGCATCCTTACGTGAGGAGTGAGCCCCAGAGGGTTCAGTTCACGGAGGGGGTGAAGAAGGCGTGGCCAGAGGGATGGGAGGAGAGCCAGGCAAGAGCCAGCGCAGTGTCCGCACCTGATGACGCATCAGGAGCCTTCTCAGAATTCGGTGGCTTCAGACAACAGCCGGGTGCTTTGCTCGTGAACCTGCGCTTGGAGAAGCGGGTCTGTTTCGTGCAGCAGTAGCTGCAGTGGCTCAGCTGGGGGCCGGAGGGGCCACGCCCAAGGTGGCACACTCCTGTGGTTAGCAGCTGGAGCTGGCCGGTGTGTCTGGCAGCTCAGTTGAGAACCAATGACAGGGTCTTCGTGTGGCTGTTTGAGCTTCCTCACAGCGTGGTAGCTGGGTTCTAAGAGCAAGCTTGAGCCGGCGCCGCAGCTCACTAGGCTAATCCTTCACCTTGTGTCGCCGGCACACCGGGTTCTAGTCCCGGTCGGGGCACCGGATTCTGTCCCGGTTGCCCCTCTTCCAGGCCAGCTCTCTGCTGTGGCCAGGGAGTGCGGTGGAGGATGGCCCAAGTGCTTGGGCCCTGCACCCCATGGGAGACCAGGAGAAGTACCTGGCTCCTGGCTTCGGATTGGCATGGTTCGCCGGCCTCAGCGCGCCGGCCGCGGCGGCCATTGGTGGGTGAACCAATGGCAAAGGAAGACCTTTCTCTCTATCTCTCTCTCTCACTGTCCACTCTGCCTGTCAAAAAAAAAAAAAAAAAAAGCAAGCTTGCCCAGAGAATCAGGCTGGACAGGCATCACTGTTTCTATCCTAACCCTCTGAGCCAGATAGCATTGCCTTTTCCTTGCTGGTGAAGCAATCAGCTGGGGGTGGGCAAACAGACTCTCCCTCCTAATGGACAGGCAGGTCTAGAAGTGTTTCAAAATGGGGACCTTGTTGCAGTCATTTTGGAAAATTCTGTCAGAGTTCCTCAACGTTGGCAAACGGGAGGTGAAATTAGTGACTCCCTGAAAGGGATATTTTGGATTTGGATTTGGTGAGGCAGCGTTGCAGAGGGGTAAGAATCAAGACCTGAGAAGTGGAGACACGTAATGGCACAGAGTAAACCACGGGAGGTCGGCGGGGGGGAGTCAGGGTAGTGGTTAGAGCGAGTGGAGGATTAAGTGCCGGGGCCCCTGGAGCAGGCCTGCCGCTGATGGAGAAGGGGTGGGGAGGGTGGGGCATCAGCAGAGAGGAATTCCGAGGTCACGGCCAAGAGGAGCTTCAGGAGGTGGGCGCTGGAGCACAGAGGAAAGCGGCAGCCTTTGTGACCAGAGGGAGGCGGCAGGGCTGGATGCAGATGAGTGTGCAGGGCAGAGCGGGAGGAGGGGTGGGCAGTGGAGTGTGTGCCTGCCTGATAGCCTCTGTTTTCTGTGTGCAGTGGGAGGCAGGACCATCTGCCCAGCATGAGGGGGGGGGGTGTGGCGGTGAGGCCCTGGGGAGGTGAAGGTTTGGAGTAGCTGCCGAGAGTGCTGGGCGCGGCAGCAGGTTGCCAAGCGGCACTGTGCGCTTGGTGTTTCCGCAGCACCCGTCAGTGAGCACAGAGCAGCCGTGGCCAGCAGTGGACTGAGCCTCCCTGGGTTTCCTGGTCACTGTCGATTCAGACAGGAATCTGCCTCATCCTGACAGTGCCTCGGGGCCCGCGGGGGCCGGGAGGACAGCGGTCCCTTCCTTCTGTGCAGAGCTTCGCTGGCCTCCTAAGTACTGGTGGCCGTGAGGTCAATAGCAATAATAACAGTAATAAAGAGCTGGCATTGTCCTCTCTGAGAGACGCGTCAGACGCTTTTCTTGGGAAGTGAGGCCTGGCGGGCCGTGTGCAGAGTACAGAACAGCTTCGTGGCCGTGGCTGAGACAGTGCTGGGGCCGCGGCCCTGCTCACAGGAGCTGCGGGGAGTGGGCCTGAAGCCCCCACCCTCGCTGCAGGCGAGGCGCTGAGGCAGCGCCTTCTCCTGGGCTTGGTCTTGGGTGTGAAAGCCCCACCCGGGTACCGTTCCTGCTACACAACCCAGAACAGCCCATCTGGGAAGCCCGTTCTGTTTGGTACTTGAAATATGTAGTATGTTTTTCTGAGACCTGGTGTCTTGGTTTTAGGAGTGATGATCCCAAAATGCTGCTCAGGCGTCTGTGGTGCCACAGAGGTTTCTAGGGGCCATCAGGGCTCGGAGCAAAGAGGAAGCGAAGCTGCCTCTCTGCACTGCCTTCTGTGTTCCTTAGGCCAGTCCCAGGCATCGTGTGCACCTAGGCTTCTCTCCCACTATTGCCCCCTCTTCCCCAGTCCTGTGACTGATCATCGCCTGGTTTTGAGAGGAAGCCAATCTGATTAAAGTAATTCACCCTAATGAGAGAGTGATTCAGCCTTTAGATATTTATGTTTTCAGAGGTGATCTTGTAAATCCAAACATATATGTGGGATCTTCACAAAGTTCATGGAGGGGCCAGCGTTGTGGTGTAGTGGCTAAAACTGCTGCCTATGATGGTGGCATCCCATTTGGGCACTGGTTCGAATCCCAGCTGCTCCACTTCCAATCCAGCTCCCTGCTAATGCACCTGGGAGAGCAACAGAGGACGGCTGAAGTTCATGGGGGCCTGTACCCATGTGGCAGACCTAGAAGAAGCTCCTGGCTTCTGGCTTCAAACCGGCCCATTTCCGGCAATTGTAGCTATTTGGGGAGTGAACCAACAGATGGAGGATCTTTCTCTCTGTGTGTCTCTCCCTTTCAGTTGGTAAACTCTGCCTTTCAAATAAATAAA